AGAAAAATACTCCTCTTAGTTGTCATCTTGGGGTTTCCACATGAAAACCACATTGATAGATATCTCTATAATTTTAATTGGATAAATTTTGGAATCAAAATACAAGAATGAATTTATGATTATTATTTAAGTACCAATAGGGAGTATGATAGTAGTATGACCAGAGCCCACTATCATGACATCGCGTCAAACGATTAACATAATATTTCCTTGTCTCTATGTAAGAGTTTAGGAATATTTTGCTTTCCTATATATAGAGTTTGTGGTGCAATTATCCACTAGGCAAAATTTCTCTTTGCATTTGGATTGACTCTCAAATAAGTCTATATATAGCATGAAGAATATAATGACATTCTTTACAGATATATAGATTACATACAAGTTAATTAATGTAATATCAAATGTGATGGCACATTATTGTGATATTCAATTGAAATTGATGACAACATTTTATATTACAACACTAAAATGGGACGCAGATACTAGGTATGTTTGTAAGTGGGAGACAAATTTTGGTCCCCAAAATGGATCAAGCGAAGTAAATTCGATGATCATGCTCTCCATGCTCATAAGACCCACTTATTAATTAAGTGTTTGGTTGCTACTTGGTTTCTTCATGAAACTTGTTATAAACAACTGGCCTTCCTGGTGGTGTCAAGTTGAAGATAGAAGCATGCTTCATATCTTTATTATTGAGCCGGATATTTATGTCCAATGGATTTGTAATATCGATCAATTAAATGTTTCAAGGCATGACATTTCCAAGTTGTGTGGCTGTAACATACACAATTGGGACAAAATATGGTTCTGTCATATTTGGGAAATGCCTTGACCCTAAAGAATACACGGGGCTGCTACTTCTTTTTGCCTTAAATCTTACCATTAAAGTTTTATGGATGACATTATTACATGGCATCGAACTTGTTATGATTCTGAAAATTCAATGTACTTCAGATGATAGAGCATCACTATAATGCTAATGATGATTCCTCGATAAGAGTTTATCATACACTTAGACCTGAAGTAATGTAGGAATTAATCTAGAATACATTTGGTAAGTAGTGTGCTTTCGCGAAAACGCAATGTTGGGAGATATTTTGGAACAATATAATTATATTCTCATGTGGACTTAAGATCCTAGAGATAAAGTTATGGCCACTCATAGTTGGCATTGGGCAAAATGATTGTCTTGTGTTGTTCGTATCACTCATTGAAAGCTAGCCATATAGTGCTTCGATTTGCACCCATTGAGATACACATACGTGTGACCTGGATGTATATGGTGCTTTATTTAAATAAAACTCTGTATTTAAATTGATCATAAGTGGTGATGCTCTCTTATGAGGAGCATCAAATGTTGTCATGAATCTATAGAATATCAAGTTTAACATTACGTCCATTGACCATGTTAGATAATGGTGACCATCAAGAGCAAGAGATCAAACTCTTTGCTGGCTATTATTCTAACAAAGTTTAAACCATAGATTTTCTGAATTTACGCTAAGGGTAAATTTAAAATTGCTATGGTGATGTTGTATTAATTAATGCAAAATAAATAGGAGACAAGATCTATCTCACTAATAGTGTAAACCTCATTTATGCTAACACATTAGATGTAGTCATCATAAAGATGTAGACCTCTAATAATATGGACATAGTCTGTTGAACAGTAGATGCCAAGTGGTGTATGCAATTTGTATAAACACAATTTAAGGTAATCATCAAAAGATTGATGTAGACCTTAGTTAATCCGCAAACGAATTGGGTACGCACGTTGAGGATAGTCACTAAGTTGTGGACTTAGTGTAGATCCCGCAGTAGCAACTATGGTGCTACCTTGTGTATGACCAATAGAAATGCTGATTAATGGTAGTCATCTTGTGAAAACATGTAGACCGTATGTTCCAATTTGTGATGTTGGGTACGCACATTGAGGATAGTCGCTAAGAATTTAGTGTAGATCCCATAGTAGCAACTATGGCGCTACCTTGTGTATGGCCAACATACAATGTGGAACACTTGTGTTATACAATAATGAGACAATACACTTAATCGATTTTGCATTAAAAATATAAGTACTATGAGCTTGAAATAAAGCATAAATGGGCTTAACATGAAACGAAAATTGCAAATAACAAAGTAATTGCAATAATAAGGTCATGATAGTAATACTACATGTTTATTGGGTTTGTCATTTTAGACAAACACTTTGAACAATGTAATGATTATACTACATGTTTATTAGGTTTGTCAATTTGGACAAACACTTTGAACATGCAATGTTAATAGCACATGTTTATTGGGTTTGCTAATTTAGACAAACGCTTTGAACAGTACTAAAAATTCCAGAAAACATAGGATCTAGAAAGCGAATTTATAGTGGTAAATTCATCTGCAGCAGTACATGTCATGATGCAATTCTTGATGACACATGGGTCTCAAAAATACTTATTTACATGAGGTAAATATTGTGCATCATAATTCATTTTAAACATTTAAAATGAGTACTTACATGAGGTAAATATTGTACAATGCAATTATGTTAAAACCTGAGGGCTAACATATATAAAACTAAAATATATTAACAATCCATTTGGATTATCATATAATTCACAGGAAAGATAAGTGTTTTGGTGCAAAAACAACACAATCTTATCCTATCCACGGGTGGTTTCACGGGGTGGTTTCCTATGGAAAACACGCCTCTTGGCCCCTCGGTCGTGCCCGTGAGGGCGTCACTGCCGTCCAGGCTCAAGGGTGCCCCCGCCGCCGATTTCGGGTTGCCGGCTGCCGGCGCAAGGCCGTCAGCTGCCAAGGGAGGCCGGCCGCAGCCGGGAGCCAGCCGGTCGCAGCGAGGCGCAGCGCACGGGGCCGAGACCCAGGCCGCCGGCCTCAGGCATGAGGGGGCGGCAGTCGCTGCCGTTTCGCGGGGGTTGCCATTGGATCCAGCCGCCAGGCGATGCAGCCAGCCAGGCGCGTGCAATCGCTGCTAGCCTAGCATACGGCCACCGCCGTGGCCCTTGCTTGGCATGCGCCGGACCTATCGCCGGTCTGGCGTAGTGGCATGTGGATATCGCCGCCGCCTGCCGGGTCGTCAGCGATAGCGATCTCCAGCGAAAACTTCGCTCGAGACACAGCCAATTTGGCACAACTGCGATGTTACATACGTAACTGCTACCACAAGCATGGCGCGCAGGCAGGGCACCAGTTGGTGGCAAGGGGACGGAGTGTTCCAAACAAAAGATTGATTGCAACTTCCTATCGAGGTAAGAATATCATAAATTGATGAAAATTAAATTGCATCTTACAGTGCTTTGATGCAATCGGGACAGAAACCATCAATTTTCTTTTGGTTCTGTTGGTCGATGAAGCCACGGAAGAAGCAAATCATGATAATCCGTGAGTGCTATTGTCGAGCGTCTCATGGTCGAACTCTGCACTTCCATTCTCCAGTGAAGAACGCTTCTTGTTCTCCAGTGAAGAACGTGTTCTTGGCTAGAACTGCCTCCGCGTCTTCCCGCTGGTGGTACAGACCTCTGTTATTCTCCTTGTCCGTAGAGCAAAAGTGCTGATAACGTGTTCCAGCGTGAATGTAAATGAACAAGATTTGAGAGAACTATTTCTTTCATTGATTTCTGAAATATATTTATATAAGTGAAGGAGTGTCACGAAGAGACATGACTGTTTCTAAAAACATACCCTGTAGGATTACAACTAACTGTCTAATTCTATCCACTAATCCTATGCTTGATGGATGAGATCACTCGTGAAGAGACGTCGGATCGTCTCCGTTCGCGCATAGGTGTCGTTTCACAACAAATAGAACAAACATTTCGGGCGTGATTAGTTCCTTGCGCATCGTAGCACCAGCAGCACCAGGCTCTTTATTCGCAAAAAAAAAAAGGCACCAGGCTCTTGTTGGCCAGGATCTTCACGAGTTTGTTTGGCTACCATCTGCTTGCAGCCAGGACAAGGAACGATGGTGATTGGTTAGGCAGTCTGTATGCACGTCTCCTCTCTCAGTCCGCACAACCTACCTACTCACTCACGCTGCACAACACCGGCCAGGCTCGGTAGAAAGAAGGATTGTGATTGTTAGGCAGTCTGTATGCACGTCTCCCCTCGGTCCGCACAACCTACCTACTCAACACACTGCACAACACCGGCCAGGTTCGGTAGAAACGCAGGTTCCAACTGATGCTGTGCCGGTACGGAGTAGTAGACAGGAGCTACGCTACGTACCAATCACGCCCTTTGTAAAATGGCAGCAAGTTTGCACTACCTCGTTTACATCCGACTGCCGAAGTCTAACAAACTGCAAATCGGACTAGCAAGTACTCCCTCCGGTCCGAATGATAAGACATTTTGATTTTTTCTAGATACATTACTTTTTACTATAGACACAGTAAATGCATAGTATAAAAAAATGTGTACCTAGAAAAGCCAAAACTCTTACTATTTGGAATGGAGTAACTACGAATACAGTGAATGAGTGATACAGTCCCAAAGTGCAAGTATATGCTGTTTAACTATACTGACAGGGCAGCATTATTTCACTAGTCAAATAAAGCTCAAGATTACAGGACAGCATCATTGCAACGAGCCTATGTGTTTCACATGGTGCAAAATTGAGCATAATCTGCAGCAACCGCCAAATAAATTACGGAAATGAAGAAAACATGCATGAGGTCCAAAACAACATGATATAGTCAACATAGCACAAATCCACATAGCATGCATTCAACAATCACTAATAGAAAATTAAGCATAAGTAAATGGGCCCTTCAGCGCACTATTCAACACAACAGTGACAACACGGGTCCATCGATACAAGTTGATACTGATAGTTAATATCATCGAATCTTGTACTGTTGCTAAGACAAAGATGGAACTAGAACAATATGGAGGATAAGTGTCCACAAAAGATCTCTGGACTCCATCTGCAATCCTCGACAGCATATTAATTTTATCCATCTGCAATCCTCGACAGCATATTAATTTTATTCAGGTTTCGCCTGCAAATTTTGATCGCATTGTTGTCAGTTCAGCTGTGTTTGGTATTAAGTACGGAAAATACGAGTAGAATCATTTTACATCAGGAGAACGTGAGCCGGATGGGCTCCTGCTTGGACTCTGCTTCTTGGGGCTTACTGCTTCACCATTTGCGGGCTACATAGACATTTTAGCAGATATAAAATTAAGCAACAAAAATAACAAAAATATTATCAAAATGATGAAGGGAACTTACAGAAGCATTTGGAGATTTGGATCTTGCTGGTGATCTGCAAAACGTTCCAGAAACAACTGATTCAATATCCCAAATGCAGCTTTAACAACTTGGTTCCAAAAGCCATGATGCCGCGTCGAAAGCAATAAAAGCTCATGAAAATTGAAGCGTTCAGTTCCATGCAAGTGTAACATTATTGTATAATAATGTCAAAAGTGCATATACGAACTACAGCAACCATCTGAAGTGTGCCCGAGGTAGGAAGAAAACTCATTCCCCAAGCATTGAACTTCAAGTACATTCCTAGTCACTGTACCACCATAATCCAGATCACCAATCCTTAACGCTCCTATGTCCAGTATTCCAAACAATGCGCTTATGCCCAAGCTCTGATGTCAATCAGTTACAGGACATTAGGTAAAATAATGGGACGATTTTAGCTTTCCATACAAGCTCTCAATTAATAACCATACCTTATAAAACCAACTGAACTGTAGCAAATTGTGAAAATCCCATCCTCAATATCCTAATGTGCAATCCCCAGACGACCGCACAATCCCAGATAAAAGGGCGAGATAATTGAGTCTTCAAAAACAAAACGGAACAGACTAAGCAGTTCATATCGTTCATTAGAGACTCTGAGCACTTGAGAAGGAACCCCAAAGCAATCAGACTGTACAGCAAGCCATCATCATTGTATACATGCCTGGGAGCGTAACTGTGTTAACTTGGACTTAACTGATTTACTTATTAGAGAATGATTAGATACCAAATATTCAGGCCAATGAAGGTTACAGAACAAAAATGATACTTTAATAAAGATTGTTAACCACTGTTTGACTAAAACAGAAGCAATTTTTGCAAATAAAAAAAGCCCAGAGTAGGCAACAGGTAATTACGATACAGAAGTAGGCATATTTGCAATTTGGCCAGATATTCTACTAATGCATATATATTGTGCATTGGACAAAACAGTGGAAAAGAACTTGACACATATAAGGATTCAAAAAGCTCAAAATCTGGAACAGTGTATGTTACCTAGACGGAGAACGTCCTTTTGATGCAGACCTTGAACGGGAAGAAACAGACCTCGACCGGGATCTAGATGCTGAACGGCGAGTCCTGGGTGATTTGCTGCAAAGTATATTCCGTGTTAGTTATTACTTATCAACAAGGTTACCCATGACATCTCGGTACAGCAGCAAACCTCGGGCTCCTGCTTTTGCTGTAGCTACGACTTGGGCTTCGGCTACGTGAGTAGGAGCGATCACGTTTGCCATCATATTCCTTCACCTGTAAAGAATAAGGTGCATGCTTGACAACGAACTACACAGATGATCCCCAGGACTAAACCAGTAACATGATGCAATGCTTACCCTTATATAGGCTCGCCCAAAGGCGTTCCTGAATTCAGTATCATCCAGCTTCTTTATCTGCAATGGGTTGTCAATGACAAGAGCATAGTTCAAAGCATTAAGAGCACATTTTTAGGGCTATTGTAGAAGAGATCGAACTAATGATGACAGATAGGAAGCAATCAAATACATGGAAAAAAAACTATAGAATGAAATGATTCACACCAAGACAGAAGGGAATGTATTATGGACTTACAGCATATTTCATATCATCAGAATTTGTGTAGTCCACAATTCCTATGGTGCCTGTAACAAAATAGAAATATATGATAAGAACTTGAAAAAGAAAAGAAGTGTTAAGAACATAGATAGCTTTACAACACATTCCTTGAAGAAAATAAGGTTGAAAACCAAGCAACCAAATGAAATAAGCCTTCACAATAAATAATAAGAGATGCTAGTAATCATGTTATGCGGCATTTATATGCGCCCAAATCCTAGAATAAACAGCAATGATGAGTATTTTTTTTTTGGACACATCAGATATGGGAAGGCTAAGTAGGCCCTCTTTCTAAAACTTGATAAGAAGTCATCAAAATGGCCGTGTCCGTATTCCAGATCAAGGGGAGAGAGATTATTGATGAACAGATGGTCATTTATGGGGATTGAGAATATAGGATGTGTGATGAATTTCCCTATAAATTGTGGGCAGCTTACAGTTTCACCAACAAAATAAGTCCATTTGCAAATTTCAAACGCAATATCCTCAAGCATCCAGTTCTCAAGCTGCTTGAATCATAGGGACTAAGTATGGCAAGCACATTACTTCAATAATGGCTACGAGCTTTAGTTATTGTCCCAATACATTTGATCCATTCAAGTGGTGCTAGCATGTTAAAATTGTTACTGTAGTACATTTGGTCATTATGTACCCAAGCAAGCTTGAACTTTCTTGTGGCAGTATCATTCTTGCAATCCCAAGCATTTTTCAACTGTTCCTAAATTATCTTTTAACTGAACAATTAGTATTTTATCAATCAATATTTAAAAATATCAAAGAGCTAATAGTTTCCTGTTCTGGGAAATGAGAATACTAAGAGAAAAATAAAATGGAACACAGGGAACTTCATATAGCCATATATGGATCCCCAGTATGTAACAGGATATGTGCCTTTGTCATGACGATGGCACCAAAGGGGCAAAAAGATCAAACATAATTGCTTTTGAAAAAATAAATGCACCCCAAATATATTTGTGCACCTCTGCTTCTAAATATTTATGATGAACATTTCAAAATTGTAATAAAGGCTTTAACCCAAAAATGCTACTTACCACCGCCTTCGCGATACACTTCAGAGAAACAAACATCACCAGCCTTCCGCATATGATCCTGGGAAGAATATATTTGGTGTTAATGAGACAAACGATACAGTCTTATGGAAGAACACGGGGGAAAAAGTTTTGCCTCAGACCTTTAAATCCTGCCATGATGCAGAAGAAGGCAGTCCAGTGACAAGAACTGTTTGCAATGATTCAAGTTAAAGGTTGCAGACAGAGAAGAGAAGAGCAATCACTGATGTTCAACATGAATAGAAACCATACCACGATAGTCTGAGTGTCTCGACACACCACGACGTGCTCCACCACCGCCACCAAAGCCACTTGAACGGTCATGAGAGGAAGTATTACCTCTACCACCATGAGCAGCCTCCACCTGACCACAGAAGTAGGCATTGGATCAACAGATTGAAGAGAAAGAGAGTAAGCATGTAGATTATCAAAGCACTGATTAGCTTACTCTTAGACGGTGTCCATCAAAGTTGTATCCATCCCGCCCAGCAATTGCATCCTCAGCATCACGAGGATCTTCAAACTACAAGATTAGCAAAGTACCTCAAATTTGCTGTTCGTGACTAAAGTCATCAACCGACACAAGATAATCTTTGCGGGGAAAAGATAACCATGTCATTCAACACATTCAGGTGAATCTTACCTCAACAAAAGCATAACCAGGTGGCCTTGGGGGGACCTTCAGGTCGATGTCAACAATTCTACCATACTGCGTTCACAAATTTTATAAAAATGGACATTATTAGTATAAATCCATGCAACCTTTCAAATGAACAACAACTATAAGCAACATTCTCAAGCGCAAGCTATAGCTTGAGGATCATAGTGAATGTAGTAGGAACTAGGTGGACCCTGATAGCACAAGGTTATCCAAGCCACCAGTTTTCTACGATTTATGGGCATGGTCACAAAGAGCATAGCAGTGCATCGCATCCTATTGCATTAGGAAAGTAGTATAAGCATCGGAGGTACTGAATCTAAGAAGCACACGGTAAGTGAGCCCAGCCTAATACAGTAAGACGGGTTGCGCTCTGTGCTAATGATTAATAGGGTAGCAAGGAATCAAACAATTAAAAAAATTCCCCACCTTGTAGAACAGATCCTCCACCTCCCTCTCCCGGATGTCGCCGGGGAGGTTCCCGACGTAGATCGTGCGGCTCCAGCGCCTGCTCATCCTTCACCAACAAAGCTAGAAGGGTCATCAATCAGCAAATCAGCCCCCGCCGCGTCCGCGTCCGCGTCCGCATCCGCATCTCCGGAACCCGACACGACACCCCCACAAGAAAACAAATCTAGAAGGCAGCGGGGCACGGGGCACGGGGCACGGGGCACGAACCAGCCGTGGAACGATGAGGAAAGGAGATTCCTACCTGAACAGCTTTGGCCGGAGGGAGATAGAGGTCGTCGCTAGGGTTTCGCTGTTGCGGCTGCGAGGTCGAGACGGATGGGGATTACACAAGGGTGGCGGCGGTTTATGACCACTCGAAGTCGAAGGGGAAGACCCGAAAGAAAGACGACCAGGACCGGAGCGCATCGGTTTGGGTCCGAATTCTTAATGACTGTGGGCCAGGTACGGCAAGCCCGCTCGCCTCTTCACTTTTCTGGAGTTTTTGGGCTCGTTTCTGTGTCGGGCCACATTTAGTAAGACGGAGATGGGCCGTGGGCACGTCAGGTTGGCCGATATTGGAGGTCTGTTGCCCTGCCACTGCTTGCTTTGCCCGGCTAGGTAAGAAACCGACGGCACTATTCTGGGAAACAACCGCTGGTCGGTCAATTGCCGACCTCCAGTGACTTTTCATTCCAGAGAGAAAATATTTTCATAACTTTTATTTTTTAAATACTTTTCGTTATCCTGCAAAATTATTTTCGCAACTTTTCTTTCTTTAATAAAAGTTACAAAAAATAAAGAAAATACATCGTAAAAGAAATTTATATTGCCTAGAGATCCTTAAATACATCATAGACCATTATACTATGAACATGACAAAATATATCGTAGAACATCACATGCTAAGTGAATATTACAATATAATACTTCGTAGATTTATGTATACTATGTGGACATCTAAAATACATAATAGAACATCACATGTATAATAAGCGGACATCACAAAATACTCCACAGAACATCATAGAATAAGCACCAACGACTATCAAGTATTGGTGAGACTAGAGTGGGATCAAAGTTAGAGACGGCGAAGTTGTAAACTTTTAGGTTTCGGCTCCAACAACTATTAAGTATCGGTGGGACTGGAGTTGGAAGCAGAAACCAAACAAGACCGTTGTCTGTAGACTACAGTATCCTTGGCCGCGGATGAGTAAAAGCATAACAATTTGTAAATGAGGAAGTCAATCCTGATCGACATAATTGTACGAGGCAATAAACCAATTTTTATGCAGATGAAACGTACAAGGCGTGAACAAAAATAAAGAGCAAAATCGAATGCGGCGTTAGCCGTCCCACGTGACCATGAGTATGCAACATTAGGTCGAAAGTTGCAACATACTGTAGAAATGATCGGCGGTTTTTTGCACCAGTTGATGATTTCGCTTCAGCTCAATTAACCAAAAACACATTAGAGGACAGTGCTAGTAGTATATACAAGTACAAAAGCTTTAGGGACATGACTATAAATATCCATGCAGCCCGAGCCACGATGGCCCGGCACGAAGCCCACAATTTTAGCCTAGCCCAAGCACGGCACGGTGAAAGCTCTAGTTTGGTTTTGGTGAATTGATGAAACCATGAGTGCTAACCTAGTTTATCAAAGTGATTATGAGATAGGTAGCACATTCAAAGTAGTGAAGCAAATGAAGATCATAACATGATGATGGTGGATGCCGTGGTGATGATCAAGTGCTTGGACTTGAAAAAGGAGAAAGAGAAACAAAAGGCTAAAGACAAATGTATAAATGGTAGGAGCCATTTTATTTCGGTGATCAAGACACTTAGCGAGTGTGATCACATTTAGGTTCGATAGCCGTACTATTAAGAGGGGTGAAACACGTATCGAAACGCGGTTATCAAAGTGCCACTAGATGCTCTAACTCATTACATATGTATTTAGGATCTAGTGGAGTGCTAACACTCTTGAAAATGTTTGTGAAAATATGCTAATACATGTGCACAAGGTGATATACTTGGTGGTTGGCATATTTGAGCAAGGGTTAGAAACTTCACCGACGGAGTGTCCGCCCGTAGAGTGCGGATAGTCCGATGGTGCCACCGGCGCCCTGTACAGAAAAGATAGGATTTCACAGAGTGCACCGGACGTTGGCTTCAACTGGACCGGTGCGTCCAATTAGTGGAAGCGGTGAAGACGCTGACGTCGGTCTTCGACCGGACGCTGACGGGGTGCGTCCGGTCCTGCTGACGTGGAAGCGCACAGAGGAGACAGTGAGTGACCGGACGCTGGGTGAGTCCGGTCGCGAGTGGAACCTTACTGGAAACGACCGGACGCTGGGGTCCTACGTCCGGTCACTTTAAGCAGCGAGTTCGATCACTACTTAAATGTACTGATGACCATTGAGATTAGGCGATCAGCGTTTGAAGCCGATGACATGTGACAAGCATCGGGCGACCGGACGCTGGGGTCCTACGTCCGGTCGATCTAACCGGAGCGTCTGGTCGCCCCAAGCATTGCCCAGTGAAGGGGTACACCGGCTCTATTTCATGGGAGCTTTTATTTAAGCCCCATTGCCAGCTCTAGCTCACTCTCTTTGGCCATTTGTATTAACATAGCAACCTTGTGAGCTTAGCCAAAGCCCTCCCACTCATCTCCATCATAGATTCAATATCTTTGTGAGATTGGGAGTGAATCCAAGTGCATTGCTTGAGTGCTTGCATCTAGAGGCACTTGGTGTTCGTGTTTCGCTGCGGGATTCGCTTGTTACTCTTAGTGGTTGCCACCACCTAGATGGCTTGGAGCAGCGAGGATCGTCGAGCGGAGGTTGGTGATTGTCTCAAGCTCCGATCGTGGTGATTATGAGGGGTTCTTGATCTTTTCCCGACGGAGAGCCAAAAGGCACTCTAGTGAATTGCTTGTGGCTTGTGTGATCCTCATCTTGTATTGGTTGTGTGGCACCCTATTGAGGGTTTGGCATGTAATGCCAATTAGCGCGTGAACCTCCAAGTGAGTGAATCGCTACAACGAGGACTAGCTTGCCGGCAAGCAAGTGAACTTCGGTAAAAATCATTGTGTCATCATTTGATCCCGAGGTGATTGGTCTTCATTGGTATTCATTCTTATGATTGATTGGTTCACTCCTCGACTCGGCGATATAACCATCTTATTCACTCTCTTTATATTACCGCAAACTAGTTATCAAGCTCTTTAGTGTAGCTAATTATGAGAGCTTGTTAGTTTGGTTAGTGTGGCTCTTTAGTTAGCCTTTGAGAGCACACTAACTTAGTATAGTGACATAGCCATTGTGTGGTTAGAAACTATAGAAACTAGAATTGTGGTAGGTGGCTTGCATTTTTAGTAGGCTAGCGCAACACTTGCTTCCCCTCATAATTGTCTACCCAATTTGTTTTGTGTTGTTGTAGAAATTTTTAATAGGCTATTCACCCCCCTCTAGCCATTAGGACCTTTCACACGGCTTGATGGATAGCGGGCCCGGATTGGCCCAGCCCGGCGCAGCAGATCGTGCCTGGGCTGCTCCTCAAGTCCGCGGGTTGGCACGGCATGGCCCGGCTTTCAGAGGTTGGCCCGGCAGCGGCCCGATGCTTCCCTCCCTCCACAGTCCCCCACGCCCCATGACCTAGCAGCAAAGCAGCCCAGCTGGCTAGCCCAACGGCTCCCCGCCTGCGCCCACCGCCGCGTATATAAGCCACGATCGTGGTGCTCTCCCTCACCCCAAACCCTAATCCTAAATCATTTCCACTCCCACTGCCGCGCCGCTCTCGCCTCGACGTCTCTTCTGCTGGCGTCCGACCTCCCCGACCTCGACTTCGGTGACGTCGATCCGTCTATCGTCGGCGAGCCGCTCCTCCTACTTGATCCCCTCTCTCTTTGCCTCTCCCTTCTCCCTATCTCTCCTCTAGATCTCTCAGTGATTATGTGAGTTCGTTGTTCGCTCGTCGTCCTTGCTAACCGATGTGTCGTCTTCTCTGGGTGACCCTCGTCTTCTCCGACACCGGGCTCCGGTTGCGTCAGGTCGGTAACCCGAACCCTTTTCTTTTATTCTTGATTTCTCGTCTCTCATCTGTTGTTTTCCTCCTTCACCTCTTTGCGCAGGTCGGTACCCGATGCATCGTCCTCTAGCTCAACCTGTGGCTTAGAGCGACCTAGGCGGCCTCACGCACCATTGAGGAACGGTGCTAGAGAGCCCTCCATGATCGAGGGCGCCATGGCTGCCGATGATGATATCATATGGCCGCTGACCAACAATGACGACCTAATCACGGCTGGCCTCACCCCTGAGGATGACGACGACACCCGGGAGGACGTTGTTGCGTTGTTCGGTCTTGATGTCGGTAGCGGCTCTACTGCTCCGATCGATCTGGACGACGACGGTGGTGAAGGGGTGACGGTGACTGGGAACCCGATCGGCTCTAACTCCAACGGCTCATCTCCATCTATTGCTGGTAACTCTAATATTGGTAAGCGTAAATTACCTATGTGGGATGATTTTGATGAGATGTATGAGACTATGAATGGTAGGCAGATTTGCACTAAAGTTATCTGTAAAATGTGTAAGCAAGCGTTGTCTGCTAGATCTAATTTGCACTAGCAACTTGAAGAAGCACCAAAAATCTTGTGAGCAGAAAACTAATCAATGTGCTAGGGTTCAGTCTTGCTTACAATCCTGATGGTTCTGTACATAACTGGGACTATAAACCTGATGTTGCTAGATCTGAGTTGTGTCGCTTGATTGCTAGGCTTGATTTGTCGTTAGGTATTGGTGAGATAGAGACCTGAGAAGAGCACATTATTGTAACACCCTCGGTGTTACGCCTTAAACAAACTATTAAATCATGTCATGAGCATCATGTTTATGTAATAATGCATGTGATAGAAGGTGTTGATAAATTTCTTGTAACCTAAAATAACCAATAAAAATATTAAATCAATGTTGATTCAATAGCTCATGTATATCAAGTAGGGTTGAAAATCAATTTTTATTAAGCAAAAATATTATAGAACATGTGTGCGATACTTAAATAAAGTT